TTTTCAAAGAAGAACGATACAAGACTACAACTTCTAGAGAATGAGTTGTTGTCAATTTCACAACGGACATGACGATTGCTAAGTACTTCCACAAGGTCAAGTTGATCTGTCGGGAGATTATTGAACTAGACCCGAAGTCCGCCATTGTAGAATCTCGAATGAAGAGGATTATAATCTATGGATTGCAACCAGAATATAGAAGCTTTATTATTGCTATACAAGGATGGCCCACTCAACCATCACTTGTAGAGTTCGAAAATTTGTTAGTCAGCTAAGAAGCCATGGCTAAACAAATAGGAGGCATCACATTGAAGGGTGAAGAAGAAGCACTCTACACAAGTGAAAGCCAGAGCAATAATAGGTCGTCTACAAAACGTGGATATAATGGTGACAAAAGAAGAAGTCACCAAGGAACTGTACAACCAAGGAGAGCTCAGAAGAACGACAACCAAAGTTCTCAAGGGAAAAGATTTGAAGACATTTGCTACAATTGCTCGAAGAAGGGCCACATGTCTAGAGATTGTTGGTCCAAGAAAAAATCTATTGAGAGCAATGTGGCATCCTCCAACATGGAGATGGAGGAGGAATGAGATGCAAAGGTACTCTATGTCATAGAAGAAGATGAGCTAGCACTCATGGCGATGATGGGAGGCCATATCGATTATGAGAATGATTGGATCATTGATTCAGGATACTCAAACCACATGATTGATGATCAAAGTGGTGCGATGGAAGAGAAGTGGCCCTCAGAAGGAAGTATTACCAAGCCTTGAGCAAATTGAAGAAATTCTTCTGACGGAGAGAAAATTGAAGAAATTCTTCCACAGAAGATGGAGGAGCAAATTGAAGAAATTTCATAGAAGATGGGGGAGCAAATTGTACACATTTGCTTAAGTGCTAATGTGCCTGAAGATTCAAGTGACACTAGTGTTGGTGAGCATGACTCAACCAAGTGAACCTAGTGAAAAACAAAGGGCACCTCAACAACTAAGACAGTTAGAAATAATCCAAAAGCCAAGTCTAGAGTATGCCAACGCAACTATTGTAGAAGACAGAGTTAATAAGCCAGAGATATATGAGGATGTATCACAAATCTCGATTTGGCATAAAGCGATGGAGGAAGAGATTATAGCCCTTGAGCAAAATCAAACTTGGGAACTAGTACTAAGACCAGAAGATGTCAAATTCATCTCTTACAAGTGGGCTTACGAAATAATGTCTCTCGAATGGATTAATCAAAAGATACAAGACTCAATATGTAGCTCGAGGATTCTCTCAAGAATATGGACTAGACTATGATGAAACATTTTGTCTAGTGGTGAAGATAACTATCATACAGGTTCCTCCAGAACTTATGGTAAATAAAGATTGGAAATTTTGGCAGATGAATATGAAAAATATTTTCTAGCATGGAGAGTTGGACTAGGAGATCTACATGAACCAACCAAATGGATTTGATAATGAAGTTGGAGTCATTAGTCAGTACATGCGAAGTCTGAAGAAGCTTCCTTTGGATGCGGCTCGATGGACCCTGAGATATGTCAAACAATATCACGATACTCGAAGGTCAAGTATCGGGTATGTGTTCAAGCTCAGTTCAAGAACAATCTTTTGGTGTAGGAAAAGACAACCAACAGTATCATTGTCTTTTAGAGAAACAGAGTACAAAGCAGCGACTGGAGCAACTCGGGAAAGTACATTGCTGAAGAAAATTGACTATCCAATACCAATTCATTTCGACAACCAATCTGTGATTCACCTAGCAGAAAATTCGATGTTTCATGCTAGAACAAAGCATGTGGAGGTACACTACCATTTCATTAGAGAGAAAGTCTTGAATGAAGAAATCGAGATGCAGTAGATCAAGACAGATGATCAAGTGACAGACTTGTTTACAAAATGACTGAATACTGGGGAACATGAGAGTTTTCGTTGTCAGCTCAACATGGTGCAACGAATGAGGACTAGTGTTGAGGGGGAGTGTTAAAATATCATCACTAGCCCAATAGAGTTAAACCCAACCATTTAGGAAAATGATTTAGGTATTTTAAAAAAACGTTGAGAAATTTTAGGAATAAATTGACTACCTCTAGTATAAATACCCTCCACCCTACTTAGTTCAACATCCCAAGAAATCTCAAGCAATACAAAGTAGTAATTTCTACGGAGTGTTTTGTAAATCTCTTCTTGATTGGTCTTAATAGAGTGTGCGAGTGTTTCCCACAGAGAGTTGTGTTCAACATACGGTTATTAGTGATGACAACTATTTTAATTGATATGGTTACTCGTTCATCACAACTACTTTTCAAAAAGCAAACTCAAATTAAAGAGGGAATTATATCAATTAACGGAGAATAACTAGTTTAATTTAATGTTGAATTATAAACGTTACGTTATTTTTAAGTGGTGGATAGAAAATATAAAATTTAGATAATGCAGAAATTTGACGTAATATCATGCCTAAGATTTTGACCAGGATTTGGAATGCATATTTGACACTTAATAACTCCGACATGTCTTTTTTCTACAACATGATCATGTTATTTTATTATCTTGAACTCTGCTTTTAAGAGTAAAAAGTATCCCACAGATTAACATGGATTATTTTATTAAGTGTTAAAAAATCGAGCGGTTACGGTTGGTTAAGAGTAGAACTTCTCCTAGTACAATAACAAGAGGACAAATCAAAGCAAAAGCAGGTGGGTATGTGACGCCTCGAATAAAAGAAAGGTAAATTAGTGAACCAAGACCATAGCTCATAGTTACAAATAGTTACAAGACCGAATAAAAGTTAAAATAACCGAAAGTTATTACTTATATTAACAAAATACATCTTCCTTCTTAGTAGCTCAATTACAAAAATTTCATAGTTACAAATACTTGAAGTAATTCTATATTGGGTGATTTCTTTGAATTTTTTGTAAGAGCATGTGAGTATCTACAAAATATGATAAAAGAGCATGTATTGGTCTTTGAGAATAGTTTTCACTATTAGAAAAAATTTGATATAAATAGATAATGTAGTCCTATTGGGGGCTTAGGGTGTTACATTAGAAAACATTAACCAATTTTAAAAGTTTCAATTCAAGTGTCTCGTAAGATTCTGAACTCAATGGACTTAGACAGTTACTACTGGTATCAAAGTTAGATACCAGGCAGTGTGAGCGTCTCGTTGGACCCTAAAGAATATTCATAAGTGGTTGGAGAAAACAAAAAATGAGATAAACCCAATTGATGGTTGAAGTGGTGAACAAATATGCTCACCCCACAATATCTTTGAAAGCATACTATAAAGCATTTGACAAAGAAAAGACTCTTGAGAACATGAAAGGGCAAATTACACATTGTACGTACAAATGAACACATACAACGAAGAAACCATTTAAAATCTTAATCTCTCTCTACTAATCATGTCAACGTATATTCTTAAGCTCAATAGCTACAGGCTCATGCTGCTGGAGCATAGTCGTAGCTTCCATCGTCGTCGTCATCATCTCCTTGTCCTAAGACAAATGTTGGAGCAAAAAATTGTCTATGTTCGACGTCTCCATACACACGATTCTTCATCGTTGAATCAATGAACTTAGAAACGATAGCCATGTTGAGAGAGAGGATAAGTGATAGCAATTTGGATTGAGTTATAGGTAAAGAACGAGAGAAAGGGGTTTAAATAGAGGGAAGAGTTAAATGGAAGGCTTGTGAAGGCACAAGGAATACACGAGGAAGATTGTGGGCAAAGTGCAACAAAGAGTATCCAACACGAAGTGTCACGAGGATATGGCACTTTTTCCATACACAACTCAACAAACATGGGGTGCGTGACACATTGCCAACGTTAGCTCACCAAGTAGCCTACAAAAGTGGAAGAGAAAGAGGTTTTTAGCATCATTTTAGGGGCCTACCAAAGGTAGAGGGCACAATTAAAGATAAAAAAGGGGTTGGTTGGATGTCTTTTACCAAACACCCACCGAAAAGGAAAGTTCAAAGAACCGAAAAGGAAAGTTCAAAGAGGAGAATATGGACTAGCAGTGGAGCTGTTACAAATGGTATCAGAGCTAGACATGATATGCCAATGAAGAAGCTGAGCCCTGAAGAGGGTGGACATGAGGCAATGTACCAACAAGGACGCTGGCCCCAAAGAGAGTGGATTGGAGGGTCCCACATCGGTTTGGGGAGGAGACCGAAACACCCATTATAAGGGTGTGGAAACCTCTCTAGCAAACACATTTTAAAAACCTTGAAGGGAAGTCCAAAAAGGACAATATTGGCTAACAGTGAGTTTGGGCTATTATAAATAGCTCGCATATATTATCCGTTTTAACCGTTACGTATTGCTGTCAGCTCATGGTTTTAAAATGCGTCTACTAGGGAGATGTTTCCACACCCTTATAAGGTATGTTTCGTTCCCCTCTCCAACTGATGTGGGATCTCGCAATTCAACCCCCTTAAAGGCCCAACATCCTCATTAGCACACCACTCGATGCCTGGCTCTAATACCATCTGTAACAACACAAGCCCACCACTAGTAAATATTGTTTGTTTTAGCCCGTTGCATATCGCCTTCAGCTTCACGGTTTTAAAACACGTCTACTAGAGAGAGGTTTCCACACCCTCATAGGAATGTTTCGTTCTTTTCTCCAACCGAGGTGGGATATAGGAAGAGACCATGATTCTTGTTCTCTCTTATTAGTTAGGTTCTAAAGAACATATCTTGTTTGCATGGGAGTTACGCACGATGTAATATGTAATATACTATATGGATGAAGACAGGTAATACAGAAAATGAAGAAAAAGGAAAGCATTAATTGATTTGAACAATAATGAAGTGTAGCAAGTAATACTCAAAATTTTCAAAGGCAGAGTGCTCAGAGACCGAGTAAACAAAGGGCATCCATCAATAATGTACTGTATTTATTTCCATTGGAGTAAGCTATGATACCAAAGAATTATGGGTATCCAAGGATCACTTGCTCTCGGCGTCGTAGATATCAGTTCTGAACATTCAAACGTCAAGGAACTCGCATATTATACATAAAATGAATGACAATGCAAATGGAATAACTTTTATTTTATGAGCGTTTGAATTCTAAACCAATTTCAAAACTACCATCGTATGTCTTTCCGAGAAGTTTCACGACAAGCAAAGACCAATGCTCGAGTATTTACAAGCATTTCCATGCAACTTGTGGCCTAATGAGATTGTAAGAACCAAATGCATAAGGCTCCAAATAATCCTTTTCCCGAGCTCGAGTTCGGGATGACTTTTGGCTATAAAACATAACTAAATGTCCTTGGTAGAGAGAAGTTTTCTCACTTGTGCACGGGATGTAACTATTCGACAATAAGCAATAACCATGGAGCTTCTCTTAAAACACCTATGGATACGTCTCGGGAGCTATCGCTTAAGTCTCAAGACACTAGACAATCATGCCTTAAAAGTAACCACATTCTCCACTATTAAACTCCTCCAGGCTCCCTTCTCCTTTCTAACACCATTTGTCTAATTTCTAAACGTTTGCCCTTGTATGACCTACATGTTCATCCAATGGTAATATGCATTGATGGCTTTTCTAACAGCCCATTCACTCACAAACTCAAAGATTAGTGAGAAAGCACATGCTATAATGGCTGGGGCTAATGGTTGGGACAAAGAGTCAGTGACCTTGCATGGGTGAGCTTACTCCAAAAACCTGTCCCTAATGCTAGAATGGCGGGGACAAAGGATCGTAAGCCTGCATGGGTGAGCTAAATCCAAAAACCCATCCCTAATGCTACAATGGCTGGGACAAAGAGTCGTGACCTTGTGAGAGTGAGCTAACTCCAAAAAGGGTCGTGACTCTGTGAGGGCTAACTCCAAAAACCTGTCCCTAATGCTACAATGGCTGAGACAAAGGGTTGTGACCCGGGTGAGCTAACTCTAAAAATCTGTCCCTAATGCTACATGGATGAGACAAAGGGTTGTGACCCTGCATGGGTGAGCTAGCTCCAAAAACCCGTCCCTAATGCTACAATGGTTGGGGCAAAGAGTCATGACCCTATGAGGGTGAGCTAACTCCAAAAACCTGTCCCTAATGCTACAATGGCGGGGACAAAGGATCATGACCCTACGAGGGTGAGCTAACTCTAAAAACCCGTCCTTAATACTACAATGGCGGGGACAAAGGGTCGTGATCCTGCAAGGATGAGCTAACTCCAAAACCCATCCATAATGCTACAATGGATGAGACAAAGGGTCGTGACCCTGCAAGGGTGAGCTAACTCCAAAACTCATCCATAATGCTACAATGGCTGACAAAGGGTCATGACCTTGCAAGGGCGAGCTAACTCAAAAAACTTGTCCCTAATGCTACAATGGTTGGGACAAAGGGTCGTGACCCTGCGAGGGTGAGCTGACTCCAAAAACCTGTCCCTAATGGTACAACGGCTGGGACAAAGGGTCGTGGCCCTGCGAGGGTGAGCTAACTCCAAAAACCTTGTCCCTAATGCTACAATGGCGGGGACAAAGGGTCATGACCCTGCGAGGGTGAGCTAACTCCAAAAACTTGTCCCTAATGCTACAATGTCTGGGACAACATGACCCTGTGAGGGTGAGCTAACTCCAAAAACCTGCCCCTAATCCTACAATGGCTGGGACAAAGGGTCATGACTCAGCGAGGGTTAGCTAACTCCAAAAACCTGTTCCTAATGCTACAATGGCTGGGACAAAGGGTCGTGAGCCTAGGGTAAGCTAACTCCAAAAACTCATCCCTAATGCTACAATTGTTGTGGCAAAGGGTCATGACCCTACGAAGGTGAGCTAACTCCAAAAACCCATCCCTAATGCTACAATGGCTAGGACTAAGGGTTGTGACCCTTCGAGGGTGAGCTAACTCCAAAAACCTGTCCCTGATGCTACAATGGCTAGTTCGGATTGTAGGTTGCTGCATGAAGTTAAAATCACTAGTAATTGCACATATCAATCGAAATCAACAAATCCGTAATACTACTCCATTTCATTTCAAACTCTAAGCTAAATGATGATGAGACACAATTCTCAGATCAACAACGACCAAACAGACAAACATTGAAATCTCAGATCAAGAATTCGCATTGCAATATGATATGAACAATGATCAAAGCAAATGCAAGAGATAAAAGGATACACCAGGTAAAAGCCATGGGCAAAAGCACCAGCTAAAACCGCCGTGAAAAGCCGATCCCTCACAACAGGATTCTTCCGCAGCGCAATTCTAACTGAAAAACAAAATTTAAACTCAAATTCGAACAAACCCAGATTGAAAATCATCCAAAATGATCGGAAAAGAGAGAAACCCAGAAAATTAAACTTACTGAGAGGAAGAACAGGGGCATAGATGAGAGGAACCAAGAACTTGAATGGGGCTGATTTCTTCTTAGGAAACGCCTCCCTTTTTCAACAATAAGCGATGTTAATGCGAATGAAAATGAATCGAACATCTATGAGAAAACAGAGAAGGAATTTGCAAAGACTGACCGAGAAGTGGGATCGTAGGGGGAGGCCATGGCGGAGGAGCGGAGGAGCGGAGGAGCGGAGGAGGGCGGCGGAGGCTATTGGAAAATCAACTTCAGCCCACAGGAAAGGAACTACAAAATCTAGGATTATCAGCTGATCAGATCTGCTTATTTGTTAAGCGCTACACCAAAAACTGGTCCATTGGTCCAAAATTATGAAGTGATCCAAACCAAGAAGCAGCACTTTGGGCTGGGCCATGAAGAAATGTTAAAATTTTGAAGTAGTATGATTTGCAAAACCATACATTAATGGAAAAATATTAAATTATGAATTGATCGATGTCATTATTAATGTCGATAGATATTTCTATAAAATTATAAATATAAGAAATTCAATAGTACGTTAAAAAGTCGAACGAATACAATTTTATCCCTATTGCCTTCGTTGAGTCCAACGTCCTCGTTGTCACACTCTTTTTTATCTCTAATCGATGTGGGACTCCCACCAAATCCACCTCCTTTTGGACCCAGTGTCGTTATTGGCACACTGGCTCGTGTCTACCCCTTCAGGGAACAGTCTTTTCGCTGACATATTGTCCGGCGTTTGGCTCTTATACCATTTGTAACGGTTCAAGTCCACTGTAAGTATATATTATCTTTTTTGAGCGTTTCCTTTCAAACATCCCCTCAAGGCTTTGAAACGCATCTGCTAGGGAAAGGTTCTTGTTCTCCTCCCAAACCAATATGGGATATCACAATTTTCAACGAAAGAGTGTCGGATTCATTGTGAATAAACAATTGGTACAAATCCAATTATCTCTCGATAAGTTAGTCAAAAAATTCGATTTTGGATTCTCATTGCTAGTGGATTTGAATTCAGAGGTGGGAAGCCTGACATAGATATTGATTTGAACAAGGGAATTCAAATCACCTATAACCGAGAGTTTCAATCAGAATAAGTCATCGGGACTCACCCAAAATATGAATTCTGTTCGGAGAAGGCTTGGATCAACCTCCATAGGCAACTACCTTAATTCCATCCCATGAAAATATGGATATACGTACAAAACTTTAAAATATTAAATTATAAATTTAGTCCCTAAACTTTAACGAATGTCTAATAAATTCTTAAATTTTCAAATTCTTATACATTTAGTCTCGAAACTTTAAAAATTATTGAATTGAATATACACGATCTTAAATTTTATGTCTAATAGAGCCTTGACCGGTTCAAACTTTTGTTAAAAAAAAAAAAAAAATCTTAAAGTTATATTACATACTAAACTAGTACAAGACTTTGAAGAAGTTATTAGATACTTTTAACGAAAGAAGAAAAAACATGTAAAGCGATGGATGAGAAGAAGGTGGCTCAGAGGTTTGGCAGTGAAGTTCCTCAATCTGCCATTAATGGGGGACAGAGAGAGTTAAAAATGGAGAGAAAGAAAGGCAACTACTAGGAGTACAAAACATTTAAGAACAAGAAACACGACATAACCAAAAACCTAGCCAGCTCGTGCCAATCATGTGAAACCCACATGGTTTTGAATAACATGATCATCAATGAACAAGTACAAATATCACACATTCCCACTTGTTTTTGGGTCTCTCACTTACCCTCCAAATCACCCAACAATGCCTCCCCCTACCCTTATTATCTCATCTTCTTTACCCCTTCACAAGGCCCACCTTTCTCTTTCTTTTCATTATTGTAGGACTTGTCCTTGTCCTTGTCGGTGTCGGCTTCAACCCCATCTCCCAAGCCTTCTACCTCTTTTGTTTTCCCCACTAAATCATCACACGTCTTTGGTTTAACCTCAAAATGATTCAATTCAAATGTTTGCCGATGCCACCAAAAACCCTCTTCTTATTCAATTCCTTTTCTTTGAAAACCTCGTAATTAGTCTTTCCACTTCGAAGATTGTGTCAAATAGTCGACTTTCGTAATTTAAACTGTGAGATCCCACATCGTTTTAAAAAGAGAACGAAACATTTTTTATAAAAACGTGGAAACCTCCCTCTAACTGATGCATTTTAAAAACTTTGAGGGGAAAGTTTGCAAGAGAAGCCCAAAAAACCCAGGTCCCATATCGATTGGAGAAGGGAACGTGTGTCATTGAGGATGATGGGCTTTGAATGGAGGTGGATTGTGAGATCCCACATCGGTTACGGAGGAGAACGAAACATTCTTTATAAGAGCGTAGAAACCTTTTACTAGCAATTGCGTTTTAAAAACTTTGAAGGGAAGCCTGAAAGGGAAAGCCCTGGATAACATGACAGATCTTGTTTAATACCAACCTAGTAAGTTGATTCCTTTAGTTAAAGGATAGAAGATGGTCTTGTGTGGGATCTAAGTAGGTTTAGGCCATTAGGGTAGCATAAACGTTTAGCGGAGGAAACTAAGAATAGTGATGTATTAGATACAAAATTTAAACTAAAGGATTCATCGACAAAGATCATCTATTAGAATTAAGAGATGGTAGGACTACGGGAATTGGTAGATTTAGGTGTTTGCTGGCTAATGTTATTAAGGTATGAAGACTTAACCGACATAGGTGCAACATTACATTAAGAGACCTAACGAGAAGAGAATAGTCACAATTGTGAAACTCTATGGACAACCTTCCCTTTCATTTGTAGGGTACCCCAATTGGAGTCATAAAAGAAATATTTTCCAAATTAGAATTAACCTCAAATATATGATTTAGGGGATGTTGAACTTTACCATCATGTTTACATTATGTGGGGCGGATCCAAAAAGGACAGTGTCCAAAAACCCTAGAAGGTGGGGGATTCAGCTTCATTACCCTATCAAATTAAATGGTCCGAAAGTGAAAGAGAGTAGATGAAATTGAAGCTTTTTAAGGGCAAAATGAGTGGTTTTCAGTGTCGGTTGGCAGTGGCAGTGGCAGCTGAGTCTCATTTTTTGGGCAATGCCTAAAAATTGATATCACAAAGTGTGTCTTTCAAATGGTCTCCTTCTATGTGTTTTGATATCATGGCTTTCTCTGATGCTTTGTTTAATTATCATGAATGGGCCTTGTTTTGCTTTCAATTTGGTAGCTACCTGCTGCTTGTTGGTATAAGCAAATGATGAGATAAAGATGGTGAATTAGTGAGAGGAATAATGGACGTCAACCGACCGCTAGCAAATATTGTCTATTTAGATTTTTACTTTCGGACTTTTCTTCCAGATTTTTAAACTGCATTTGCTACGGAGAGATTTCCACACTTTATAAAAAATGTTTCGTTCCCCTCTCCAACTAATGAGAGATCTCACAGTTCACTCTCTTTCAAGGTCCAACGTTTTCGTTGACACTCGTTCTTCTCTCCAATCGATGTGGGTTCTCACAATCCACCCCATTCGAGGTCCAACGTTTTCGTTGACACTCGTTCTTCTCTCCAATCGATGTGGGTTCTCACAATCCACCCCATTCGAGGTCCAACGTTTTCGCTGACACTCATTCTTCTCTCCAAACAATGTGGGTTCTCACAATCCACCCCATTCGAGGTCCAACGTTTTCGTTGACACTCGTTCTTCTCTCCAATCGATGTGGGTTCTCACAATCCACCCCATTCGAGGTCCAACGTTTTCGTTGACACTCGTTCTTCTCTCCAATCGATGTGGGTTCTCACAATCCACCCCATTCGAGGTCCAACGTTTTCGCTGACACTCGTTCTTCTCTCCAAACAATGTGGGTTCTCACAATCCACCCCATTCGAGGTCCAACGTTTTCGTTGACACTCTCTCTTCTCTCTAATCAATGTGGGATCTCACAATCCACCCCCTTTGGGGTCCTACGTTCTCGTTGACACTCGTTCTTCTCTCCAATCGATGTGAGATCTCACAATCCACCCGCTTTGAGGTCCAACATCCTCGCTGAAACTCGCTCCTCTCTAATCAATGTGGGATCTCATAATCCACCTCCTTTGGAATCCAACGTCCTCGTTGACACTCGTTCTTCTCTCCAATCGATGTGGGATCTCACAATTCACCCCCTTCGAAGTCCAACATCTTCGCTGACACTCGTTCCTCTCTCCAATTGATGTGAGATCTCAATATCCCCTTTCAAGGCCCAACGTCTTTGCTGGCACACTCCCCAGTGTATTGTGAGATCCCATTTCGGTTAGAGAAATTAAGGAATTTTTTTTTTATTAAGGTGTGAAAACCTCTCTCTATTAGACTTGTTTAAAAAATTTGAGAGAAACCCGAGAAAAACCGTATGTTTTAGAAGTGGGCTTTGACGGGCTTTTAACCCTAAATCTGGGGTAATTTCAATTCATTGACCAGTTTTCTATTTATTTTCAAGTTATTATGTATGTCTTGTGGCTTTCTTGATGAGTTTTCATAGCCCATATGCCTAAGTCTTTGAAGACAACAGCTGCCAAGTTGAGCCCTTTGAGCATTCCAAAGCAAAACATAATGGGACTCGATCCAAGTGAGGATATTTCTTAAGTTTTTTACCAATGTTTTTATCCCCTTCAAGCCATCTACCCTCACATACTCCAAATTTTTAAAAGAATGGTGGGGAATGGGGTACTAATTGTGAAGATTGGGACTCATCAAAGGGAAACAGACCATCATGTTTATTTGCATACAAAAAAGAGATAATTTGAAAGAACAAGAACAAGAGAGAGAAAGAAGGAGAGAGAAGTTAATGGTAGGGTA